CTAAGGGCTCCACCCATTGGGCCACGGCTACGTAGTTAGTTATCGATATCGGCCCGAAGGCCCGCCGGTCCAGAGCGCGCCCAATACCAATGTGGGAACGCCGCCACTGGCGAGGATCGTGTCCCTATACGGAGTAACCTAGCTACTACGTATAACTGCTTGACATCTTGCTGGCACCGACTTAAGCAGTTCAACAAGACAGCCTTCAGGGACTGCATTCCAAGCAGCCATAATTCGCAGAGATCCACAGAAGCCGCACGAATCCCCTCGAATTCAGGAGAACGCGTAGAATCAAGAGCAACGCGTAGGATAGCGACAGTGAGGTCTGCTATAGCGACAGGGGGTTGGTAAGGAGGCCGATTTGTGAGAGTTTTACTAGCGCGAGCGAACAATAACTCATGACCCCCCTAGTACATATGACGTCTGCAACACGTTCTTCGTTTCACTCCAGCGCAGCGAGGTTGGGGGCCAGCCCGATCGTTATTGCCAATGTTATATCTAGTCGCATCTTCTCTCTGTTCCGCATCCAGCATTTGTTTCTGCCCGCGCTTTGAGCGATGGCTCCCTATGAAGCTGACCCCAGGTTTGACGCTTTCTCCATCATTCTCCCTTATACTGCAGACGCCGAATGGGCTGAGGAAGGCTGGGACATATCCGAAGGAGACACTACCGTGTTTCCACCGACAGCATCAAGCATTGATCCGGCAACTTCCACAGCACAGGGACCCGGACCAGCACTTATCTCAGACACGACAAGGGATGCGACACGGGAAAAATGTAAGTGAGCGATCACCCTGCTACTGGAAAGATATTCTAAGCAATTGGCTTCGCTTTAGTGCTCAGGATCCCTCAACTCATGAGATGGAAGACAGGTTCGGATCAAAGTTCCGATGCGCTGCATGAACTTCAGCATATACTCGAGGATTGCGGCGATTTTATTAGCATTGATATCGATAGGCTCCTCAGATATGCCATTGGCATTGGAAACCTGGAGATATGCAACTATCTGATCAAACACCACGCCGCCAACTCGAGGTCTAGAGATACCTGGGGCTTATCTCCCGTCATCTATGCTGGCGCCGCGCCCCGTAATAACATCGCAATTCTCAAATACCTAGCCAAGACCATGGGCACGGAGGCCTTCCGCAAAGAATTGGATCACCGAGATAGTTCTGGAAGCACCGCTATGCACTATGCGCTCTACCTGCGACCAGCACATGTATTGCACTTCTGCTATATGCAAGGTGGCGACACGGAATTCCGGAATAACGACGTCAACACCGACTGGAGATCAAGGATACCGGACGATGGGAATATGCTCATCGTTTTACTGTACACGAAGTTCCGGGCTCTTCTCGAAGTCCCACTATGCCTTTGTGGTGCCACTCTAGGAACCGAGAGACCCCGAAGGGGAGAATGTATGATTGTGAGACTTGACGATCCAGACTTCTCAGTTGAAGGAATGATGGGATTTTCAATGCAGTGGATTCATGTGCCCTTCACTAATGTATGATTGAACAGCCTGAACGTGCTAGAATGATGCTAATGATGGAAAGGCTGCGATGATATATGTGAGGTTTCACGCGCTCCTGTATCCAGATCTAACCATCCAATAGGCTATTCTATGCCGTATGATGATGGAATGTGAAGGTCGAAAACGGCCTCCACTCTATTGGATCCCTGAGAGTTTTCGAAGAGCCTCTGCCGTTTCTGGGGGTTCACACCTTAGCTATAGAATTCCCTCATGTCACAGTCAAACCATCAGTGAGACATGGTACTCAGACGAAATGGTCGTGGCGTCAGTGGTTGTAAGTGGTAGACAAGTCTCTTAACTCGTTCACTCCACTTAATAATTTCACTCGCAAAACAGTTCCCTTGTCTTGTGTTACAATCTACAGAACAGTTTGAAACGTCGAGAGAGCACTTATTGAAGCAACAAGAGTCCGCAGCAGGTGCCTGGCGTCAGATTGGCGCCTTCTTCCAGATCGAACGAACGTTGGATGAGACCTATTATCCTTCTCTCAATCGAGAGGCTCTGAATCACCGAAATGGAAAACAGGTCGTCACGAGAGAGTGCAAAGAGACTGCAGACGGAAAGGACGTATCTGGCGACATGAGACCTATCTTGATGGTGCCACAATTATGGATTTGGTTGGCCGGTAGCATGACTATCTCTGCATTCACGCCTCTTGGGAAGAATGCTGGGCGTGCCACGGGGCAAGAGGCACCCCAACCCCACGAGGGAGCAGCCCTCTGGAGTTCTCGTGGCCAAGATCAATACAGTCTATTTGGTGCAAGGTACCCAGAAGAGTTTGTTGCGGAGCTTTTGGCTGATCAAGTTCGTCGCTTTGGAAATGTGCAAGGCTCGGAAGAGTTTCAGTCTCCACTTGACATTTTTGAGCTTGGCGTTGTGCGAGTATTGTCCAGCGTGGCCAAATACATGGAAAACAATACTCTTACAAGTGAGGACATTGCGACGGAGATGGAACTTGTGGAAGCCATTGCCGACATCCGGGACGAACTAGCGATGGTGGGAGAGATTCTTCGCCAGCAGGACACAGTGTTGGATGGCTTCATCGCCCACATTAAACTGGTTGTATTGAGAAACCGGCAAGCAGCAGATGAAGATGTGGAGATACCGGAAGGGCTTGCAGATACGAAAGCCCAGATCAAAATATATCGCGATCGAGTCAGCAAAATCGACCGTGATGCTGAAAGAGTGGACAAGACCGTGCAGGACCGACTGAACCTTAAGCGAACTTTCGCTAGCATAAACGACGCACGCACCAGCATGAGCGATGCAAAGACAAGTTTACTCCTTGCCGTCGCAGTCATAGGCTTCACCGTCATTACGATCCTGTTCGCACCGCTTGCCTTCATGACTGCGCTCTTTGCCCTAGACATTGACGAATTAGCGAAGCACAAAACCGGCAATGGAGATGATGCTGTGTACACATCAGGATACATCGCTGGAACTTTCTGTACGCCGCACATTCTGAGCTTTATAGAATGATAGCTAATACTTCATCTAGTCGCTGCTGAAGTTACGACAATCATACTGACAGGCTTGATTGTGTGGTACTGTCTTCACAATAAAGATCGTCTTGCCGCATGGGCTGAGAAGCTTGCAAAAAAACCCGATGATGCAAGTACAACCACAGCAGGAATCATCAAGACATCGAATTCATCAGCAGCGCCACCCGTACTGAGCCCTACAACGAAGAAAACCCAAACGACGACCGCTCTCGCCAACGACCAAGCTGCAGCCTCGGCCAGATCTTCTGTGCTATCGCAGCGTCGCACGCGACCGGTAGATGCTACTGATGTGGAGGAGCGAGGTGAGGCAATTGTCATGGAGGGGAGGAAACCGGACATGAGCCATCTTAGCTAGGCCTTGCCAAAACGCAAAGAACGCGACAGGAAGCAGAACCAAGAAGAGCAGATTCATTATGATCTATATCAAGTTATAGATTGGGGTAGCCCACGGTTGGTGATTGCAGCATAATCTTTCTTGTAGCGAACCAGAAGCAAGCAGTTGCTTGCACAAGTTAAGATCTTGGAGATTCGAAAAACCACAAGAGCTTGAATGAAGAAGTACGTACGAAGTAGTGAGGTTGGGTTGAAGATTGATGAAGTTGATATACGGAGTACAGAGTACGGAGTATCACTGAACGTATCACTGGGAGTGTGATAAAGCAGCTGGCGCTTACCGCTTTGGGGATCCACCTTCACTATCGATAAGACGCGTACGTAGTAAACTGTAGCGCGAATTCTGTGTAGCTGTTTGCCGTGGTAGCCGACGTGCAAATACTCTGTTCAAGCTAAATAGGGTACGGAACGAAAAGGATGGCAGTTTCTCATCGTCAATGGCTTGCGGCGCAGGTACTGTCGGATCAACAGACCATCTCCTACCGCACGCTTGCTCGCGCTGCCAAAGTCCATGTCAATGCCGCGAAGCGCATGCTATACGACTTCCACGTCCACGAAAATGCAAAGAAGCCTGGTTCTGTGCACGCAACCTACCTGCTTGCTGGTACCAAGAAACTTGATCAAAAGCCTGCGGCACGCAATGGACAAAATGGGGATCACAATGAAGATGAACCTATACCATCAAGTCCCCCACCATTCACGAGCTCAATGCCCCAATCCTCACAGCAAGACCACGAGGCTGAGGAAGCAGAAATATCGTCCATCAGAACGATTACGCTGGTCAGAGAAGAGTCATTGAATGGTATGATCACCTTGCGTCTGCCTTCCAGTGTATACTGAGTCCTCAACAGCCGTCAAATCCTCGTATGAGACAATAACCTCAATACATATCTACTCTCTCTCCGCTTATCGCCTGCAAGATCTGCAAACTCTCTCAGACGTAGGCCGTCACCTTTACAACACGTATTTTGTGAAAGAAGACCCGCTTGAACACAATGCCATATACGGCGTCATCGGCAACAAGAATGTCAGGCGCAGGACACGTCGAGGACCACCCCCACCTTCTGTAGCATCGAAACCGACCATCAAGGCCGAGACCACCTCGAAAACAGCCTCGAACCCTGCCGCAAAGGTTATTACTACCCCCCAACCACCCGTCAAGAAAGAGGAGACGTCGCGTCCCAGCTCAGCAGGCAGCACAACAACGACCTCAACCACCACCAAACAACCCTCCCTCAAACGCGACACGTCCGACATCTTCAAAGCCTTCGCCAAGAGCAAGAATGCAGCAGCAAAACCAACACCAAATCTCTCCCGCAACGGGACCGGTTCATCGATTGGCAACTCCGAAGACAAAGACTCTAATCTTCCCAACACCACTGACGACGAAGGCGAATCCGAAGAAGAAGCCCTCTTCCTCGACACCAAGACCCGTGCTCCATCGAAAAAGCGAGCCAGCACCGGCAAAGCAGAACGAGAAGCCAAGCTCCGCAAGATGATGGACGACAGCGACGAGGAGATGGAAGATGCGCAACTGATCGACCCAGAGCAAGCCGGATACGGGAAGGGCGATCAGCCCAAGAAAGACGGGAAATCACAAAAGGCAGCCATCTTGACGCAGGGAGCTGGCCAAGAAGACACCAGTTCCAACGAAGCCGAAGGCGTAAACTGGTCAGACTCGGAATCCGAACAAAGGCCACCGGACAGGAAAGAAAAAGCAAGAGCAGAAGCAGAAGCCGAAGCCGAAGTCGAAGTGGACCCCACAGGTAAACCGTCCGCCCCTCCCAAACGCCGCCGCGGCAAGCGGAAAGTCATGAAGAAGAAGACCATGAAAGACGAGGAGGGCTACCTCGTCACGCGCGAGGAAGCGGTCTGGGAGTCTTTCTCCGAGGATGAACCGGCTTCCCTGCCGGCTGCGAAGACGAAGATGAAGCCCGCTGCTGGATCGCAGTCGCAATCGCAATCGCAATCGCAGGGGAAAGGCGGAGCCAAAGGTGGCGGTGCGGCGGCGGAGAGGGGGAAGCAGAAGGGAGGAGGGGGAAATATCATGAAGTTCTTTGGTAAGAAATAAGCGGCATGCCAAAGCGGCGCTTTGAATTTCCCTGGGTTCAGGCAGGGCAGCGCGTAGTAGTAGTGATGATATCGTATCAGTACGACGAGCTTGCCAGCGCGTGGTTTCATGATGTTGTGGCTATTTTCTCGCCCCATCTGCTCTATCTCGAGCCGCTGCAGAGCCAACTAACTCGAGCCCTCCCTTACATAGCAACGCCGTAGCCACTTGGAAAAGCAGAACTCAACTCCCCTCCCCAACCTTGTACGGCCTATCCTCCGTAAAAATGATCCCGGGCCTCGTCTCCGCCACCCACAGAATCGTCTGCGCAAACACGCTATTCGCCCAGGCAAACCAGCTCCGCGTCATGTCCTCCCATCCACTGTCCACATCCACACTCTCATTAACCAGCCCCATCAAACTCACATTCTTCACGCTTTCAAGACACCACTTGATCTCTTCCTCGTCCTGGCTCGTCATGGCCTGCACCAGCACGCTCATGGGCCACGCATTGCGCAACCCGATATGCGGGCCGCCGATGCCCTTGAATGCCGACCCGCTGAGGAAATAGGGGTTTCCTTGGGACGAGAGGATCATGCGGCGGGTGTTTTGGTAGATTTCGTCGGAGGGGTCGAGGAAGCCGAGGAGGGGCAGCGAGAGGAGGGAGGGGATGTTGGCGTCGTCCATGAAGAGGTGGGAGCCGTAGCCGTCGACTTCGAAGGCGAAGACTTTGCCGAAAGTGGGGTGTTCGATCACGGCGTGGTCGTAGATGGCTCTGGAGATTGTTTCGGATCTTTGGAGGAGGGCTTGTGAGATGGATGTCATTCTTTCGTTGTTGCTGCCTAGGACGCTCTCCAGGAGCTGGGAGGTGCGTTTGAGCTCCACGGCCATCATGGCGTTGCCTGGGATGAAGAAGCCGAAGATGGTGGCGTCGTCCGAGGGGCGGAAGGCGGAGCGGATGAGTCCTGTGCCGTGCGCAAGTGGATTGCCGATGCCGTTGAGATTCAATGTCTCAGTGCCTGTCCAAGCATGGCGGGTGAACTTATACTCATTTGGTACGAATTTCTTAGAGTCCGCGTCGAAAGTCCCTTGTGCCTGTCGGTCGAGTACTGCTAGCAAGGTCTCCAATGCTAGATACCACCTTTTGGTGAGGAAAGCACTCGAGCCGGTGGACTTATAATATTGGTTGCTGAGAGACAGAAACGCAGCCAATGAGTCTATCTCATACTTGCATTCGAAGACGATTGAGGGCTCATAGACTGGGTGCACAATGTCATCTGTCCCCATGTGTGTAGGTTTGAGGCGACTCGGAGATGGAGGTTGAAAGGCATTGCAGTATGGTGATTCGATCACGAACTCCGCTTGAGTGTTGATGGCGCCCAAAATCAAATTGGAAAGCTCTGGAGAGGTCTTCGCAAGCGCTTGATACTGTGCCAGCTGGTTGGTAGAATCCCGCAACCATTCGGCATTGATGTCGCCAGTAACTATAAAAGACTGTGCGCCTTCCCATTTCCCTAGGTCCCGCACGAGCTTGGTCTTTGAGGCATGGGTATTGACGCCATCCACGTGCCACCGAACTGTTGTATCAACGGTGTTAGGGAAGGCGTTTTCAAATATTCGAGCAAGGTCTGGATCGCGCATTCGACTCGTCACTTCTTTGATCACCCGATCAACCGCCGGAGACGAGAAGGTCCGGCAGTAGGCATGAGGTCGCTGGAAGGGTAGGGCCAACGGGCCTTCACTGTATGGTCGGCTTTGTGATGGTCAATGATATATTTGTGCTGGATGACGAGGATCAACTTTACTGCTTGTGGCTTGCATATTGTGCATACTCGGGGCAGGCGCCCACGAATGTCTCTGGATTGATGTCTTGAGGAACATCATGAGCTGGCCCTGGCTGAGCAAGATCAATGTCCTCTGCCGGAGGAGCGGCACTGCCTTCAAGAATTGCGAAGCCCAAGCCCAGCAGCAGCCAATTGTTCACGCATGACAAGCGCATTGCCCTGCTTGCTATCGCCTAGGAGAGGTTATCGATGACATCTGAAAGCAAACAAGTTGATAGAGCTTCTGTCCGAATGTGTTAGAACTCTTCACCGAGTCAGGTGAACCCTCCTGGGTCCAACTATTATGATGCATGGATGGAGTCTCACGAGTCGTACGGGGAGCTGCAGCGTGCTCCCATCTCGGTCAACATGGAAGGTCAGCCGATTCTACGCCAAGCACGGATAGGGGTCACCTTGGCATCCATCTTCCGAGAGAGCTTGAAGGTGACCATTTAGAGTACCTTGAGCGACGATCTTCTGGTTTAATTAGCCACAAAGCAAGGAGTCAACGCTAATCACGGTAAAATCGGCTGATTGCTGGTACTCCAAGTCCTTCCAGCGCATGGGTAAAAGAACCCGATTATCGTACGACTTCATGGTGGCATTGCTCGAGGGACATCGGGTGTTGAATCAGTGCATACGTTGTGCGACGCTCAATTCTCGCGCTGATCTTCCCTTTTCTTCACCCGAAGCGAGGCCTGTGTTCCTCAGAGGTAGGTTCTGAGATGTTCAACTTTGGCTGGAGGCCCGCTATGTTGACCCTAGTTGGCCTTCAGAGTTCTATTCTTCGCGCACACGAACACGAAGCTTTGCTTGTATGTGGGCGGCAAGTTTTGGGAACTGCGACCTTGATGCTTGTGTATAGCAATGATACTTATAAAGGGCTTCTGATGACAAGTTGACAATATAGCACAGAACAACATTTATACTGCTCCTGGCAGAGAGACAAGCTACGACAGCTGGCTTTCTCTGTATTATCGCATGCACGTCAATAAGATGCTACCTCGGAGACGCAATTGGCCGCCCTAGGCTCCGGTAGCTGCTCTCCCTGACTTTGAGGCAGTCTGACAAATGTGACAAATGTAACAAATGGCCTCTCCTGTCTCTGACAAATTTGGTGTATAGCGTCCCGGCCACAAATACTGCAGCGCAGCTCATAAAAATAGGGTACTTGAACTGTGCTGGACGAGCAAAAACAATCGTGGATGCATACGAGCAGAGCTCAAAGAAATTTTGAAATGATGCTTCCATGGAAGAAAAAGAGCCACGCCGATCAGCTTCCACTTCCTTCGGACATTCAGTCGTTAGTTTACAACAGGTAAGGATCTGAGACATACACACCTCTTGAACAATAGTCTGGACACAAAGGTCAAATACCCAGAGTCCAAGCCGGCTTCCTATCACACCAGCGATAAGCCCTGAAGCAGCAATAAATGGCTGCCGAACCACCAAGAACAGTGTAACGGCCGTAGCGATGCAGAATATTTGCCAGCTGGTTGACCACAGGCCTGCACGGATCACGCCGACCCTCATCATGAGTATAGGTCCTAGCCAAGTAGCAGAGATTTCCACTGCCACCGAAAAGGTTCTGATGATGCCTATCTGTGTTGAACTGTACCCAACGGACAAGAGATATGTAACCATTTGTCCAGCAAAGGAAAGTACGGTCAGATAGAGGACGCTGAGAGCCATTGATGGTAGAATGTCCCGATGACGAAAGTACAATATGAAGTTCGATGAGTTGCGGCGGGTGCGCGCCTCAGAGTTGCTCTGAGGTTGGTCTGTTGCCATAGTTGAGACTTGCGGTTCTGCACTTTCTCTGGAGCCTTCATTACCAGGGAAATGAAGAGCAGGTACCCTGTGATATACCTAGAGTAGGTGCAACAACATTAGCAAAGAGTCTGACAGCTTGTCGATGTCGAGTCACCTGAGCTATCGCCAAATACTCGACTCCTACAGAGACCACACTAAGCCCAAGCGTAGCCAGAATCGCAATACGGGTAGACAATCCGTCAAGCAGAGATATCGCAAGTGGGCCGATTAGCTTGCACAACAGGTCTATCCGGCGCATTTGAGAATTAAGGACTGCAAAAAGTGAAGGCTCGTTAGTCTCCATCTTTATACGTCTTCTCTGAGAAAGGCCGAAGAAGATGACCCTTGCATACCATGAAGGGTAGACTCATTTGTTCCACTTCCAGCAATCACAACGACCTGTATAGCAGCAATCAGCCAATGGGTAGACTTATAGTGGAAAATCTCACCCAATCCCGCTCCACCGCTAGCGTGGTCATAATTGAGCCCAGCTTCTCAATACAAGTCAGAAGAGCAAGAATGACTAACAGGAGAGTCTTGGGGACCATTGAGATGCCAGGAAACACTAACAATGTCCATAATCCGGTGCAGGAGAGTGCCACGGAAATTCGCTGGCACACTGCGAGCGCCTGATCTGTTAGAGTTACATATCCTAGGGCGAACATTCCTTGATGGACTTGCCGATTGAACCTCTCACCACCTTCAGTCGGTCATTGACGTCGATATATCTTCCAACCTTTGATGAGAGCAAAATGGCTGAAGCAGCGCGCACAACAGCGTAAACAGACACCGGCAACAGTGTGCCAGGAAATATTTCCGCAATGAAGAGGACAGCACCAAATTCGAAGACTCTGGAGTTCCAAGTAGACAGAAAATGAGAGATATAAAGTCGCAGAGTTATCCCACTCACAACCTTAGCCGGTGGTGATATAGCACTTGCGGACCTTTCAGGCTCTTGTGTAGAAGCACCCTCGTCTTCCAGAAGTTGGTCGAGCTCGATATCACCAACCCGGTCCATTGCATAGTGGCCAAGTTCTGATGACTGTTCCTCAGTCGGAAAACGTGAAGAGCTCATTGTATAGGTCTGCAGGAACCCCACACGTATGCCCTCGCTGATAGCAGTCGTGCTAAAGCTGAGCCATGAACAGTCTGAATTTGCAGACAATTTCAGCTGTACAGAAACCGTATTTTAGAAAATTCGTCATGGTGTTGCTGGTTACGTAGTGTTGAGCCGCTAGCGGACATCCCTCGCTCCAAAAAGAGGGCGTCAGAGTTTCCCTCGTATGTAACGGCTTAGATCTGTCAAGTAATATTTACATATCAGTATCATTCTATCGCATCTTTTCTAAAATTTCTAGTCTTTCATACTTTGCTTCTTCGTAAACACACCCTCACTCTATTCTCACGACTGAATCGTTTAATCAGCCTCTAGCCTGCCCAAGATACTCCTCCGAAATCCTTCAACCAGGGCACCACATTTGCACACAGCATGCGTTGCGGCTTACACTACCGCGTTGTGCCATGACGTCTCTTGCCCCTGACTTGAAGTAAGGAAAAAACACCAAAGAATCCTTACGCTTGCACTAATTACCCGATTTTGGTACATGGCGAGAAGTGGGCAGAGCGACAGCAGCTTCACCGATTCACAGGTCTGTGCCATTTGGTGCCTATACCAGATCAACATGTCACTTCTGCCGTGCAAGAGAAATTCTGAAATTCTGACGGACCAACCGTGGATTGTGTTGCAGCACTTCATCCTGTTCCTTCACAGCTTTGATCTAATGCCCTCGAGCCTGAACTTCACATCTTTTAGAACTTTTGTGGTCGGTTTCCAATCGTCAAATTGCCTAAGCAGCTCATTCGCCTCATCACGAAGATCAGATTTCACAAAATCCTCCTCAAGAATACCCCTTACAGCCCAAGGCAGTATGTATGGGTTCGAGGAGGGAGTTGAGTTCGGTTTCTGCGATAGTGGCGCGCCCACGATAGTATTTGTCTCCAAAGCGAACTCGACAGCAAGATCATACACGTTGCTGTCTTCATATATGCGAGAATGGCCTTCACCGGTGTAGAGGCTGCCTGCAAGCGGACCGCTTAGCTCTCGTATGAGACCATGGTCATGAACACTGAGGTTTCGCAATTTCAAAGCAAAACCCACTAAGTGAACCAAGAAGTTCGGGGCGTGTATACGGCCATCCACAAAAACAGCCCGGTAGATATGAGGATGCGAAATGGGCGCAAAGGTCGATGATTCCAGAGATACCAGTTGATCATCGATACTACCAACATAGAGCACATGAACGCCGAACCTAAGCACAGTTTCAACCGCTGTGAGATAGTCCTTTGAAACGGTGCTGGCGCTATTCGAAAATTCGAACAGCTCCCCAGCTGATCCGCTAATCCAGCGCGACTTATAATCAGGGAAAGGCCCAAGGCTCACTCCTGCCATTGCACAAATGCCTATTTTGGCCGAGTTGACGCAACCGAAGTCGATCAGCTTAGCGATGAGCTCCAGAGCGACTGGTACACCCTGACTGTGACAAGCGACCATGACGAAGTCTGCCTTCCTTATCTCATCGATCCAATTCAGAAGCAATTTCCAGAGCAGATCTACTCGTTCAGCAATCCTGCCTTCACCTTCAAGCGCCGCTGTCTTGACCTCACAGGAGTAACCTCGGTTTTCGGTCCACTTTCTGATTGCCTTCGCCGCCATGTCAGCGAACTTGATCGAAGTGCCGGTCGGCTGTCCTAACACAGTGCGAATAAGTGGAGCTGGAAAATAGCCATGTACACCGATCGCTAGAGCGCTCCTCAATCTGGGCACTTCTTTGATCTTATGCAAATGTTTATCCTCTGAAGGTCTATTGTAGTTGAACAACCGGCTTAGCAGCTGAAGCAGACTTGGTGTTTCCTGCAATATAAAAGTTTCGTTGAACGAGGGGAGAAGAAGATTTGGTATTGCGCTTTGCAATTGTTTTGATGCTTTGACCTCTGCACCCGGTAGCTTGGCTGACATTGGAGTGACTGTGCCATCTTTTTGAGCCTCTGAAGTATTTTGCATCGAGTTCGCCTGCCCCGTGTCTTTTACTTGAAGTGCAGATAGGTCTGCTGATTTCGATGTCTTACGACCGGTGGCGACTGGCGTTTGGGACTCTTTTGATATATTTGCCGACTTGGGCCGTTCAAGACTTATAGATGCCCTCCTTGGCCGCTTCTGCGATGGTGTGTCCGAGACCGCTATTTCACCAACATGAGGCTCATTGGGGGTTCTCGATGCGTCATCTGCTTTGCGGTCTCGTGACCAGAACACCCAGCCTGAGGATTTTGCACCATCTTCTTGCAGTGTTGGGGGCGCTGATGATTTGGTTGGTAGAATTTGAGAGTCAGACACCGAAAAGTCATTTGCGCTCGTTTCCACCGCCGCCAAATCTCTGTCAGCATTCTGATCGCTAGGGTCCATTTTGTCCTGCATTTCCTTGGAAGTGCTTGGCTCCTCTTTGGCAGAGCCCCCACTCCACATCTGAAGCCAGCTACGTTTTGAAGGCGTTGGCATGGGATCGCCAGGCACGGGAGGAAGTGCTTTGATATTCGCATCTAACGTCTGCGAACACGACGACGATAGCTCTTCGGGTGGCAGCGGTGGGTTAGGGCTCCTCAAGCTCGGCGGTGCAGAACTTGAGGCCTGCTCCGGCTGTCCATTTGTTCTGGATAACCAGCCGAGCCAGCCCGGACCTCCATTTGCCTGGATAGAAGTTGGATTTTCCTCGGGCTCTGAAGCCTCTTTACCCTTAGAATCGTTAGGCTGCGGAGGATCTGGAGTCTTAGGGTTTTTTGGGTGTATCTCTTCGTTGCCACCCCGCTTGAATCGAGAATTTTGTGAACCATCAATCTCCGCTTGCTCTTCAACTACTGTATTAGGCTTTGATGTCGCTGGAGACGAGATGGAACCCCTCGAGGTTGCATTGACCCTCGTCGTCGTAGCGTCGGCTGGGGGGGACCGGCTTGAGGTCGCTTTCCCCAGCGTCAACTGCAGAGAAGGCGTTCGTTTGGTCTTTGGTTTGGCGGGTCGTTTGACAGATGGAACGACTTCTGAGGCAGTATTGCTGGCAGAAGATATACTTTCACGAGCATTCTGGGTAATGGGCGCGGTTTTGCGGGGCCAGGTCCTGTTGTACCAACTCTATGACCATGTCAGCCGAATCAGCAGGTGAAGTAATTGCCAAACATACGGATCGTTTAGTTTTCTCAGGAGAATTTGCGACTACACTTGTCTCTGGTGTTGCTATTGACCCAGTCTGGGAAGGTTCTTCGAGGGATATAGAGTTCTGTGCGCCGTCAAGGTTTGGTGTAGAATGCTCTTGCGAATCATTTGGTGCCATATAGATCTGTGAGATTTATGCATATGTAACAGTGCTGATCACATCCAGATGTAATGTTGAACATACAAGTCGTCATATGCGCCGTTCCTTGTTCCAAACCTGATGTTGATCAGACGGACGCTGCAGAGCCTCAATCTTGGCTCGGAGACGTGGCTGCAGGCTTCCCCACAATCTGTGGCGCATGTAGACATATTTTCCGCAAAAAAATTCGAGAATTGAATGTTCAAAAGCAACGCCGTGTGAGATCTTCCGGGCAAGTCTTCAATGCACCACACGAAGATTGCTGAGTTGCCGTAGGCCTTCACCATAGGGTCATATACGGGTCGGTCCTAGCGGCGCCTACACACAATGGCAATCCAGAAGAAGCATGGTAAAGGCCGTCTCGATAAATGGTACAAACTAGCCAAAGAGAAGGGCTATAGAGCTAGAGCAGCGTTCAAACTTATACAGCTGAACAAGAAGTATGGGTTTCTGGAGAAGAGTAAAGTCCTCCTGGATCTATGCGCTGCACCTGGATCATGGTGTCAAGTCGCTGCAGAGGTAATGCCCACTCAGAGTATTATCGTGGGAGTGGATCTTGCGCCTATAAAGCCCATACCTCGAGCAATTACCTTCCAGAGCGACATCACATCTGACAAATGCCGGGCTACCATCCGGCAACATCTGAAGACCTGGAAGGCCGACACCGTACTACACGATGGAGCTCCCAATGTTGGCGTGGCATGGGTGCAGGATGCATATTCCCAAGCAGAATTGGTTCTACAGGCTTTGAAACTGGCAACTAACTTCCTCATTGAAGGTGGAACGTTTGTTACCAAAGTGTTCAGGTCAAAAGACTACAACGCGTTGATGTGGGTATTTAAGAAATTGTTTACAAACGTTGAGGCTACCAAGCCACCATCATCCAGGAATGTTTCTGCCGAAATCTTCGTTGTCTGTCGTGGGTTCAAGGCACCAAAGCATATGGATCCCAAGTTTTTGGACCCTCGACACGTTTTTGCAGATGTAGAAGAGGCTACTCCCAATAACGAAGCAAAGGTGTTCAATCCAGAGAAGAAAAAACGAAAGCGAGAGGGTTATGAAGAAGGAGAATACACTCAGCATAAAGAGACATCTGCTACCGAGTTCATTCACACGACCGACCCAATTGCCATCTTAGGCTCCGTGAACACGCTGAGCTTTGAACAAGGACCAAATGGGGACCTGGCACTAGCGACGTTAGAACGGCTTCCGGAGACAACAGAAGAGATACGTACGTGCTGTTCGGATCTGAAGGTCCTAGGCCGCAAAGAGTTTCGGAATCTGCTTAGGTGGAGGTTGAAAGTGCGGGAGAAGTTTGGGCTGTCAGCCAAGAATAAGAAACAGGAACCCGAGGAAGGAGAAGAGGTTGCGGAAGTAGAATCCATGGACGAAGAAATGAAGATCCAGGAAGAACTTCAGAGACTCCGAGACCAAGAGAGCTCAAAGAAGAAGAAAGAACGTCGCAAAGAGAATGAGCGCAAGCAGAAGGAGCTGGTGCGCCTGCAAATGCATATGACTACACCGCATGACATTGGATTGGAGCAGGAGGGACCGAATGGCGACGGCGCCATGTTCAACCTCAAATCCGCTGATAAAGCCGAGTCGATCACTAAAGTTGCATCTGGAAAAATGGATGTTGCGGACGAAGAATCTGAAACCTCAGAAGATTCCGAATCAGACCTTGACTCCAACGAAGACGGAGATAGGCTTGACAGGGAGCTTGACACACTCTACGAGAATTATCAGCAACGGAAGGAAGACAATGACGCAAAGCAACGAGCAAAGAGAGCACGGAAGCAGAAAGAGACAGATGACTTCAAAGGCTTTTCTGGCTCGGAGGCTGAAGATGCGTCTGATAACGACGCCGATGCTGAGATGGTATTGCCGCTGCGCCCAGCTACTGCTGCAGAGGCCTTGTCAAATAGAGCTTCCATGTTCTTTGATCAGGACATTTTTCAAGACCTAGGCATCGCCGATGTGGTTGGAGATGATGACAGTGCGATAGAAATGAACGATGAAGAAGACGATCGTAAGAACGAAGCACTAGCACATGAACACGAAAACTCCATAAAGGAAAAGCCTAATGTCGCTATTAACACTAGCAAAGCAACGCACGCGAGCGTCGAGTCAGCCTCGGCCTCTAGTTTTAATAAACCAGCAAAAGATACAAAGCAGACAAAAAATGCTCAAAATCCATCATCGAATGGCGATGACAGCAAAATCGAGCAAGTTACCGCATCCGAAAATGACGACCCTAGAACGAAAAATGGCCAGCTAGACATCGACATCATAACCGCCGAAGCCATGGCCCTCGCACAAAGCATCGCCACCGGTGAGAAAACCAGCGCTGACCTCACCGACGACGGCTTCAATAAATATGCCTTCCGCGACGTCGACGGCCTGCCGGATTGGTTCCTCGACGACGAAGGCAAGCACAGCAAGCCCCAGCGGCCCATTACCGCCGCCGCGGCATCCGCGATCCGCGAGAAGCTCCGTGCGTTGAACGCTCGACCCATCAAAAAGGTACGCGAGGCGCGAAGTCGGAAGAAGTTCAAGGCGGCGCAGAAGCTGGAGAGGTTGAGGAAAAAGAGCGCATTGCTTCTTGATGAGGAGGGGATGACGGAGAAGGACAAGGCGTCTACGATCGCGAAATTGATGAGTAAGGCGGGTAAGAAGAAGCCGAAGCCGAAGGTTAAGCTTGTTGTGGCGACAGGCGGGAACAGGGGGATTTCGGGGAGGCCGAGGGGCGTCAAGGGGAAGTATAAGATTGTGGATAGGAGGTTGAAGAAGGATGTGAGGGCAGAAAAGAGACTGGCTAAGAAGAAGAAGTAGTCGCTGCAATTGATCTGCCGTTTTCACGCGTTCAAAATTAATGTCCAGTCCTTCCTGGAGTTGATTGCCTAGAATTGCTGCTTCCTAGATCGCCACCAAGCCACAAACGGCAATTTCCATTCTGGTCTTCTGAGCCCGGCATTGAAGACGTCGAAATCACACTTTTGTAATCTGTCCAACCACAGTTGTGTTGACACAGCTGGTCCCATGACGATACCAAAACCTTGTTCGTATTCCTTCCTTCTCGTATCACTACTCAGTCGTACACCGGTATGATTACCATAATCGTGTCCTTCGTCATGTTCATGCTCGTACTCATGATCAACATCTTCATAGCCTTGAACACTTCTCAGCATGCTTCGTGCTGTGATGAGATGATCTGAAGCTCGAGTTGCAACTTCGAAGACTGCGTCCTTTAATCCCGGTGCATTACCGCCCTGCCGGTAGATGTCCTCTTCGCGCACCCCGGACTTGGCCATGATATTGAGCGGAAGAGTGATGGCCCCACGGCGAGAACCTGGAGGCGGAACTCCAAGGCCACTGCTAGCACTAGGGTGATGACTGGGAGGCAGTGGGAAGGCTAGAATCGGGAGGCCACGCAGAACGGCGCATATGCCAGCAGCTTTGCCAATATGGGAAGCGATATGATCCATGGTGATAGAGTTGAGAGGGTAAGCGCTCAGCGTCAGGTACAAGAGCGTCGAATATGTATTCTCAGCGTATGCTTCAAGATCGTTGAGATTGGTGTATGGAGGATTAGCCAGATACTTTTCCCGAGTATTGATGACGCGCAAAAACCACGACTTGTTTAATCTATAGTGCTCCAGAACGGAGGCCAAGAGGATGGCGACAGGTTCAGCCGGCGGCTGAGCGTCAAAAGAGGAGTTGATGGTGTCTCTCCAGAATTGCATTCGAAAAGCACCAATGGTTGGGTTTGAGACGAGATCCGCTATTCGTGCTACTTCAATGTTGAAGGCACGTATGGCCAGATATGCTGAAAGCATGTGCGGTGGTATGAACCTTTGCAGTGTATAGGAGGGCGAATCATATTTTCTAAGGTCTGTCAGCTGGTCGAAAAAGACAAGACCTCACCCACGTCGCGTTCGCAAACTGTCTCCATATTGGCAACCACAAGATCGATAGGACTCGAGGAGACGATGGAACAAAATAAATGGACTTGGCATACCTTACCAACTGCGAACAGTATTCTCGGGCAGATTTCACATCCTTCGGACGGTCGTTCACCGGCGAACGTTTTTGCGAGGTGGACGAAAAAGCTCGACGTGCTCGAAGGAAATAGGTCCGTGCTTCGAGAGAGCTTCGTCTGGCTTTGCATTTGGAGGACATGGCAAGGCCACTATAAGCCACATCCGGAGCCAGTAAAGATGGGAACAGCTTCGTCATCTTTGAAACAGCAATTCGGAATCTATGTCAAACTGCTTAGACAAGGACGAGATTTGCGGTTCCACTTATGGCAGAATTGAACGTGTTTTGAGCACCCCTTCCTCGCAGACCGATGACGTTCTTCGTTTCTTTGAATGGTGCAAAGGAGAAAGGCAGAATTGGTTGCTCAGCAGCACATACATCCTTGAGCCGACGAAGTTGGTATATCCGACAGATCTTCATGGGCATACAGTACTTGTGGAATCTGTTTAGACTTTTGATCACGTGCCGACGCGACACGCGAGAAAGCTCATCGGGAATCTACGCATCTAATTCCGTACGCATCTAGCATCTACGCATCTGGTACCGTGCTGCCTCTACAACCAAGCCACCAGCCAACCTCCACGATGAGTGCTCCGGACCTAGAGCATCGACCTGTCAAGAAGAGGCGCTTCTTCGTGGACGATCCAGATGATGTCTCGCCTCAGGATGCACCCAACATACCCTCTGCCGCTAGCTCCAGTAGACCCTCGTCGTCGACCTCCACGATCAACCCCTCAAAGTCAAGCGAGACCGATGCGACAGATTCAGGACCGCTTGGGCCGACTGATCTTTCCGCCAGATTCGACGTAAAGACCTTTGCAGCTTTTATAGGTGAAGATGTTCCCATCGACAAGCTACAGAAAATCCGTCATGCGGCTGGAGACGATATGGAGCGAGCCATAAACATGTACTTAGACGGCTCATGGAAGGTTGCTGCCTCCTCCGTCGAGACGGTGCGAAAGGTTGATCCTACCGCTGGTCAACCTTCCGTAGGCGTGTCCGATTCCGGAGGTTCGAACTCAGCTGAAAGACGGAAGAGCTCTCCCCATCGGCTGCAACCCGGCGAGTCCCCCGTTTCAGCAGCACTGAAAGTGATGCCAAAGGAGCGTTACGTAGGAGCATTTGGCGTGGGTGCATGGTCTACCAAGAGTGGCACGGGATTGATTTCCCATGGCGAGAAGGTCCGTATCGAAAGGTCAAAAATAGCACCAAAGACGAAACTTGGAAGAGGAGGAAAGGTTATACAAGTCATTCCAAGAACTCAGAAGTCGGACGTTGTGACTAGGTTTACAAATTCCCGAGGACAAGAGGTTGGTCGGCTGCCGGAGGAGACAGCGAAATGGGTCTCCACCCTGCTCGATCAGAAGCTTTGCAGACTAGAAGGCGCTTGTGTCTATGCACCTGATAGGCTTCGGGTGAATGACACGATCTACTTACAGCTGAGATGTTATTTCCTACGAACAGCCTTTGAGGGTGGGGCGTTTTTGCGGCCAAACAATGACAACAGAGCCACGGGAATATTTGAGGAAAAGGAAAGCCGTGAGGAAAAGGATCTGCGACTGCGGCAGGTCGCACTGGTCAAACTCTTTGATGAGATCAACCTTCACCCAACAACCACGAACGAGATGATGTCGAGGCATAAAAAGGATGGAATACTCAAGGCGGCGGAAATGGCGGAGCAGTACGACAAGGAAAAGCCAAAGAAATCCAGAGAAGACGGCGCCTCATCCCCGCCATCAGAAGACGAGGATGGCCAAGAGCTTGAGGAAGATCAATTGAATACACTCTATCAAAAAGCACAGTCCTTTGATTTCAGCATGCCAGAAGCTGAGCCTGCTGACACTTTTGCCTTGAGCTTGCGTAAATACCAAAAACAAGCATTGCATTGGATGTTAAGCAAAGAAAGGGACATAAAATCATCAAGGCATGATTCTATGCATCCCCTCTGGGAGGAATATCAATGGCCCAGCAAGGATGTCGACGACCAAGATCTCCCTACTGTGGAAGGTCAAGCCCAGTTCTACGTCAACCCTTACTCTGGCGAGATCAGTCTCGAGTTTCCCGTGCAGGACCAGAATTGCCTGGGTGGTATTTTGGCCGACGAAATGGGTTTGGGCAAGACGATCGAGATGTTTAGTCTGATACATTCTCATCGATCGGATGTCGCGATGGCTGCAAGTGGAGCAGCAATCACAAGTGTCAACAGCCTGCCACGACTCCCGCATACTTCGTCAGCTGTTGAGCCTGCTCCCTGCACTACCCTGGTTGTAGCTCCTATGTCGCTCTTAGCGCAGTGGGAAAGTGAAGCTAGTAAGGCATCGAAGGCAGGCTCTATGAAGAGTCTTGTCTACTACGGCAATGATAAAACAGCGAATCTGCAGAGCCTGTGCTGCACAGCCAATGCTGCCTCGGCACCCAGTGTGATCATAACAAGTTATGGCACTGTTCTTTCAGAATTTAACCAGGTCGCAGATCTGGCTGGCAATAGAGGCTCACATGGTGGCCTCTTCTCGGTTGAGTTCTTCCGCATCATACTCGACGAGGCTCACACAATCAAGAACCGGCAGTCCAAGACGGCAAAGGCTTGCTATGAGATTGAGGCAAAACACCGTTGGGTTTTGACGGGTACACCGATTGTCAATCGCTTAGAAGATCTCTTCAGTCTTGTCCGTTTCCTCAAAGTCGAGCCTTGGAGCAATTTTTCTTTTTGGAAGACTTTTATCACGGTCCCATTTGAGCAGAAAGAAATTGCTCGGGCCATTAATGTTGTGCAAACAGTACTTGAGCCATTAGTTCTGCGACGCACAAAGGACATGAAGACACCCGAAGGAGAGGCACTTGTGCCATTGCCTCCTCGTACAATTACTATTGAGGAGATTGAGCTGTCAAGGCCAGAAAGGGAAGTCTATGATTTCGTCTTCATGCGTGCGAAGCGCGCTTTCAACGCCTCGCTTGAGGCAGGTACTCTGCTGAAATCGTATACTACGATTTTCGCGCAGATTCTACGGCTTAGGCAATCTTGTTGTCATCCTGTCTTGACTCGAAATCAGGCTATTGTCGCAGACGAGGAAGATGCGGCAGCATGATATGGATTTGCAGGAGTTGATAGATCGTTTCACAGCTACAACGACATCAGCGGAAAGTGAGGGTGCTTGGACAACACAAGACTCAGCTCTGAATTTCACGACCCACGCTCTTCGCCAGATCCAGACCGAATCTTCTGGCGAATGTCCTATATGTGCTGAAGAACCAATGATTGATCCTGCGGTTACTGCTTGCTGGCATAGTGCATGCAAAAAGTGTCTGGAGGATTACATTGAGCATCAAACTGGTAAGGGCGAGAAACCAAGATGCTTCTCCTGTCGAGAGACAATCAACCCTCGTGATGTCTTTGAGGTCGTGCGTTACGGTTCTGCTCTGTCAGCAAGCGCATCGCCAGCATCTTCGACCTCATCAGATGACCTCTACACCTCCGCAACCCCGGTTGAGGATTCATCCGTATCAAAACCGCGCATTTCTCTCCGCCGTCTCAATCCTCTTTCACCCTCTGCCAGCACATCAGCCAAAATCGCCGCTCTAACCAAGCACCTTGTGGCACTTCCAAGCACCACAAAGTCAGTGGTCTTCTCACAATTCACATCCTTTCTCGACCTCATTGCCCCTCACCTCTCGCGTAACAATCTGACGCACCTCCGCTTCGATGGCTCCATGTCCCAGAAACAACGCGCACAAGTATTACGGGCATTCAACGCCGAAGACGCCTCGGCACCTCGAATCCTTCTCCTCAGCCTCCGTGCAGGCGGCGTGGGCCTGAACCTCACGGCAGCAAGCCGCGTCTTCATGATGGATCCATGGTGGAGCTTTGCCGTAGAAGCCCAGGCAATTGATCGTGTACATAGGATGGGACAAACCAACGAAGTTCATGTGACACGGTTTATCGTCCAGGAAAGTATTGAAGGAAGGATGTTGAGGGTTCAGGATCGGAAGATGGCAGTTGCGGGCAGCCTGGGGGTGGGTCAGTCTCAGGGTGAAGGGGGCGAGGAAGAGAAGAAGCGGAGGAGGATTGAAGAGTTGGAAATGCTGTTGGGCTGAGGGTACTAGTAGTTGGTCGGAGCGGAATCAGGATTATTGGGGGGGTTTGCCAGGCTTTTTCCTCTCGATTCACACAGCAAGCTCTGCTCCGAGAGCGTGGCCAACAATGAATAGTATCTTGCCTGCAACAAAGCTGTATCAAGAATATTCCATATAACCTTGTTCTTCACTTTTTGGTATTCGTATTCTATCGATCTCTCTCGTAGCCGTGCAGCAGGCTGTATTATGTGTCAACTCAACAGTAGCAGTACCGACAACGTAACTCCACTGGCGCCTTAGGTTAAGGAATGTGAAGAGGCGGTCTATCGGTCAAGAAGCTGCAGGCAGAAAAGGAGACAGCAAATCGAAAAGAAATCCTTGAGTTCTCTATGCCCACATCGCAACGCCGCTGCTGGGTTGTTCAAGCACCTGCAAACCCAGATTCATGTTCACGTAGCTCACAACCAGAGATATGTACTTCCAGTAGCCCCTACCTCTAAACACCGTAACCGACCCCATTTAACCACGATCGCTTGTTCCGCTATTTCTTCGACCTGAACTTATCCTTCAATCGATCCCTAAACCCACCACTCTTCTCCCCGTTGCCGCCCGTGTTTTTCCTCCCAAAATGGTGTCCCTGAGGCATACCCTCGGCGATGGATTTCCTGTGCGTGCCATCTGGCATCTCGCCGGGACTGATTTCGCGACCGAGACTGTCCTTTTTCTCGATGGACCCTGTTGAAGGACATCTTGTTAGCGAAACCCATAACGTAGGGAAAGAGAGGGATAAAACGTACTCGGTTCTCTCTCACCGGCCGTGACAGCTGCGCCGGGCGCCCAACCCGTGCCCTCAGAAGCACCGCCGTTTCTCCTCTTCTCTTCCTCCTCCATGGCCGCCTTCTTCAACCCCACATACCCCCCCGTATCATCCTCAGTCGCGCCTTTACTCTCCTTTTCAGCCTGCTCGTTCATCACCTCGGCCGCTTCGGCGATCGTACCTGTGAGCTCCCTTGAGCTCTTTGGCGGGTGGATTGTGTCACTTGCACCTCCGTCTTCCTTTTTGCCTAGACCGAAGAGTGCCGAGTGGGAGCTGGGTTTCACGGTACTGGTGGGTTGGGGATTGGATTCTGTGTCGTAGGAGGCGGTGTCATTGGGTAATTTTGTGGTGCTGGTGGGGTTTGAGGCGTCGTTGGATGCTACTGCGGCCTTTATCTCTGAGGGATTTGAGTGGTCCGGGTTGTTGGCGGGTGTAGTGTTTGAGGGTACAGAATCAGTCGCGCTTGTTGTATTGGTTATACCGCCAGTGATTTGAACTTGTTCGGGTTCGTTGCCGCGGTCGAAGGGAGCATCTGCGGTGCCTTTTCCTGGTGGGCCACCAGAGGGTGGTTCAACGCCAGATTCTGTTGGGACTTGCTCTGGAACATTGCCGGGATCGTAGGGGACGTCGGGTGTGCCTTTTCCTGGTGCGTCGCCGGTAGGAGGTTCAGTGCCGGATTGTGTAGCTGTGGCGTTTTCGCCGAAGACGGACTTCCTGGCCACGGTGGTTATGCTGCTGATTGTTTCCATGTTGAGAATCTATTAGGGCTTGGCGGACAATCAAAAATTATGAATGGAAGATGGAGGGCCAAGGTGGGATGTCGAGGGAATAAGGCAATAAGCTGTCGCTGGAGAAGCGCTACCCAGGTTCTCAACATGCGATGTAGGACATCAATTGAGCACCTATTTCAAACTGTGATCCAAGCGATCAAAGACTTCAATGCTACAGGCCTGATAACGAGGTGCTGTGCTTCAATGATAGCTGGTGTTCCGCGGGACAATGGTTACCGTTAAGAAGCGAATCCGGACATACGTCACAGTGCACATGATACGTTTAGCTGCTGACGCGATCTTTGCCTCAGAACACGTGAGGAAACGACTCAATTAGGGGCTAATTAGCTTGCCTAGTGTGTGACTGCAGTCTCCCTTTGCGCAGAGGCAGAATACGGAGGGGTACTCTACCTGCAGCCAGACGCTGATAGCGTACGCCACCAATACCTCGGGTGATAACAGTACAATAAATCTTGCTCATGACTGATCACGACGATTTGTATGTAAGTGTAATGCAAATAATTAAGAAGAATCCTGATAAAACAGAAATCGAGAATATCTAAAGTAATACTTGACTAAAATAACCACTTCTGATTGATTATGATCGATCATGATCAATTATGACGATTTGTAGTACGTTTGTATGCAAGATATTGCGCCAGGTGATTTTCTTCTCTAGATTTGTAATAAGATCTTTCTAGATGTTCATGCATGACCATGATGAGTCATGATTGATCCGAAGTAATTGTTTTCTCTTAACAACCTGTACGTAAATGCAGCATAGATTATTATGATCAATCATGAGCACTCAGAAGGACTTATCATAAAGTTTTCAAGTACGAAGATAATAGACACCTAAATATGAACTAATGCACACTATCAGTAATAAGGGCCAGGCTGCGGGTCGAGTACACCGCTGCTTTGGCAGGCTGAGCATGAGAACTATCGGCCTGCCCCACGATGCCTACACTTCCCGCTATTCTCTTCACAACTGGCAGCACAAACTGTAAGACCTCGTACCATGCATGTCACGGTTATGCTATCTACTTTCAGAGCTCGGCCACTTTTGTGGAGTATCTTTGGAATGATTTAACCGTCGAGCATGAACTTCTTTAGGCAGTGTGTGCCTGAAGAAGAGTCCTGGTCGGCTTGATAGCCCCGTTTTCGGTTTTCAATTACTGTTCACAGTTGGACATAATGTCTGGTGCTGAGGTATTCGGCATAGCGGCAGCCGTCTTGCGAATGGCCGACATGGGTACAAGAGTGTCAGTCAAACTCTTGGGCTTTGCACGCATGGTTGAAGGAACCACTGAAAATTTTAATCTCATTTCTAAAAAGATCGCTGCAACGGGAGCTCTCCTTTAGCAACTAAATTCAGTGTATCCAGTCAAATCAAATTAGTCAAATCAAATCAAATGCTTGGCAATCAAATCAAATCACGTTCGTCAAACCCATCAAATTACCTCTTGGCAGAAAAGTTGTATATTTTGGCATATTTTGGCATATTTGGCATATTTTTGTTAGAAAAATAAAAGGTCTTGGCGGACTCCTTTTCTGAGATGGAAATTCTCGACAGTTGTCCTAACAAAATTATTGCTAACAAGATTTGACTAGTTTGCCAAATGAATCAAGTGAACTAAATCGGCGCTAAATTTGGTTCATTTGATTTGATGGATACCCTGAGCAACTTAGCCAGCAGCTCGACAAAACTATCACGCACGGCTCCGATGACGGAATTTCGTGGATTCTGCGAATGAATAGTGCGAGAATGTAAAAAGATTTTTAAGAGTATCAACAAACCATCGATAGAAAGTCAGGCAACAAGGTCATATTGAGCTTAGAGCAGGAATCCATCATAGTTCCCTGGGTTCCGAAATTGTTGCACTTCGGGTGAACGTCAAAGAAGCTCAAGAGTTGTTCTGTTTGTATCATTCAGGACCTCCTTATAATAAGCTGAGCAGTTGAGGGATGGAGAAAGGCTTCCAGTGCTAAAGGAACAACAAGACCTCCTAAAAGCTCTGGGCAACGAGAAGCTTGCCAAAATGAGCAGAGATACCAACCCTTGATGAAGCCGTCACGGAAAGGTAGGCCAGTGGACCCATATCGTTCTCAGCAGATATGGGACTTGCCCAACTGCCGAATGTGCATGTACCGTTTGGAACTCACTCTGAGCATTGTCATTGCAGTGTGTCCATCAAATCAATTAGATTGGTCAATTGAATCAAATCAAATGCTTGGCGAATCTGATCAAATCGCTGCTTTCGTCAAAGCAAATCGGCCTCCGTGAATTTGACAAATTACTAGTACTAGTCAATGGGAAGTCTTGTCAGAAAAGTCTCCAATTTTGGAACACTCAAGGAGTGGAATAATAAAGTCTTGGCGGACACTTGATCTGGAGAGAATCCGTGGTAAATCCCCTGCTGAGAATTGGCCTGATTCCATGGATATAGTACCATGCTGAGCAACTTGGAGCTAGGGACTTGAACACGGGTCCACAAACACCCTGACCAACGTCCCCGAATGTCCTGACTCCCCACAGATGCGTCGAAATGCGCGATTATCCCATGCGCCGTCGATTAAATGTGCCTTTTTAGCGTGCCAAGCATTTTGAGTCTTGGCATGCCTCTTTTCGACTTTTTGATGAGTCTCACCATTGAGGTCGATTTCTGACATGGGTTTACGCAGATCGAAACGCATACCAAAGCACAAGACTATATGGGAGGCCAAAGGAGCTCCTAGTGCAGCTAGCGATCCAAAAGTTACGAAGAATACTGCTCGAACAGAGCAACGAACAACGCTCAAACCCATCGCCGCAGGGCCGCTTCCAAAAGCGCTCGAAATAGACGAAAATCAACTTCCTGAGCTCCCTGAGTACGAACCGCCCCTTATTCTACAATTTCAACGTGCCAAATCGCTAGCTGCAGGTCTCTCACAGCTTGATACGTTTCAACGACTCCTTACGCCAACTATTATCGATAGAATTGTTAAATCAACGAATAGCTATACAGAAAACGCTCAAAATACGGATTTCGACAAGAAAGAAGATCTTGAATTCCTTTCTAGATCCTGGAAACCGTTCAATTCAACCGACATCTGGCGATATATCAGTTGTTTGCTTTATATGGGATATCATAGGCTATCCAAACATGAAGAACATTAGAGCGAGTCAGGTTATTTGGGCGCATTCTTAAGCCTAACAAGATATGAACAAATTCATCGATATTTTACGCTTCGAAAGCGTACGACTGCTCCTTATGAGGATCACGAGATCTTTGCTTAGCAAGTAGAGCCAATTGGTGCTATTATTAAGCAAAATTACAAGAATAATTAGTAACCAAGCTCTTATCTAGCTGTGGATGAGGCAATGCTTGCTTATAAAGGCCGCAGCTCTTATAAAGTTAAGCTGCCGAATAAGCTAATTAAGGAGGGCTATAAGGTATAGGTACTCGGCGACGCTAGATATGTGTACGACTAGCTATAGCATAGTTGCCTTGACGGACCTGAAGCTATCCCTTAAGAGGGCATAGAAGTCGATCGAGTTATCAAAAAGGAGCTCACAGAGCTTAATACAGTATATCTTATACTAACGTTCGCTCTTATTATTCGTCTTGCACAACATTTACATTAGATACATTTAATGCGCGTTTTTTGCTTCTTTTTAGATAACCTGTTTCTAAATGTTAACGTTATATAAGTACTTCTTACTTTATATATTTGCTGTATTAGTACTACTCGCAAAAACGCTCAAGGAATTCCTGTATAAATCTTGAAATTAAAAGAGCATAACTATAGCGTTATTTAGAATTCTATGCTTACAGAAGTTATTAATAATATACTTGTTTTTTTATAACAAGATAATAACGCTATAATAGACTATATAACTGCTTACTCTCTCAAAAATAACATGATTTTATAACTTTATAAATGACTCTCTCTTATATTAACTAATACTTGAATTGTATACTCTGTTTTTAGCAACTTACTCTTTAAACAACTTTATATCCCTTGTATTAAGAATGTATGCTAATTAGCAGACTATAGTCTGAACTATTTGGCTGTATACGTACAGCTAAATATTGCCCGGTCAGGTTATTCCTAATCAGGTATAGTACAGGATTTTATGTGCTGGTGGCACAGGATATACCACGTGATCTATGCGCTAGCAGGATCTGCACTTGGTGTGCAGATGCACTGTGATCTCACTCTGCATGCAAGTTGTGACTGTTGATAGTGTTGATAGCTGTTCCTAATCCGTATACCCGTTTAATAGGTTACGAGCCCGGTGCAGAACAGCTATAGATATTAATAGTAAGTAAAGGCCTAATTAAGATTACTAAGCGAGCTGTTACTCCTGTAGCAAGGTATAGTTATGTTATACTTAATTGTGGAATATAAGTAAGTTAAATACTCTAGGGCTATAGAATTATAAGTCTATAGATTTAAGAGCAGAGGTATTAATCGCATTATAATTTATCCTAAGACTTAGAAATTAGCTTATTATAGCTTATAAGTTAATTAACTCTGTTAAAATTAACTAAATATAATAGTAATTAACTAATATATTTTTTCTTTACTTAAAAGTCTATAATAATTAAAGTATATATTCTTTTTTACCTTAGTTAATTTAATTCTATACTAATTATTACCTTATTCTATTATTAAAATAAATAATATTATTGTCACGGCTGCCATGCTTGTCGCCCGCTAGCGCTAGGGCGCCGGGTATTGATTAGCACTAGACGTTAGTAAGGGGCATGCTTGCTATATAGAAGCGACCCCAGGGCCCTCACCGTCGACTCTTCAGTCTTAGGATAGCACTCAACATGGGCTGAAGATCTCGCGCACTCGTTGCCTGCTTCCAACGTGACACGTGACAAAGTCTAAGAAGCAAAAGTTACAACGTGCTCTATAGACTCTCTATAGCATCTCCTTAATATTAAACCTCTTATATAATAACTTCTTAAGAAAGAATCTCTACT